CCCCCCCCCCCCCCCCCCAAACACATTTTTAAAGGAAAAATATTGAAAGTTAGATCAGAATCTGTTTCTTGGATTATAGTTTTCCAAAAGTCCCTTTCCAATGTCTTGAAACATTATTTACCGTTACTCATTTTATTTTTATAGGTGTTGGTAGTTTATCTGATCACGCTATGAGAGTTGAGGATGAGAAAAACCAGGCAGCAGCAGCAACTAAGATCCAGGCAGCCTACAGGGGGCACACTGTGCGCCAGGGCCTGTCTTGGAGACTGCCATCTGGTGGCACTTTGGGAAGCAGGCTGAAACAAAAAGAAACAACAAAACCTAAGGTAAGAGAAATGAAAAAATTTTACATTATAAGTTTTGATTTTTTTTTCTTTTCTTTCTTTCTTTTTTGTTGAGAAACTTGTGACATATTTAGAAAGAAATACAGTTGATTAATGCAGTCCTTACTAGTAGATTGTCATGATATGAATGTACATATTCTAGATCTTGGATGACTCCTCAGATACCAGCTCCCTGCTGACTGACACCACTTTGACAGAATCAGAAGGTTTTGGAGAGAAAGCACCCAAGGTTTGCTGATTCTTTGATATTCAGAATGTGATGGATAGGGTTTTATATACAAAATATATTCAGTATATAAGATATTCTGTTGACAATTTTATGTACAAATTTATATATTCAAAATATAAGAATCTAAGATATGTCATTTCACTTTCAAAATGTTATTTCTATTATTATTTTATTAAACAAAAAGACTGGTGGTTGTTATACCAGATAAGACTAGAGGTAGCCAGTTATATTCAAACTTGAATAGTTTTGTCACAGTTTTTATAATATACATCTGGATAAAAAAATAAGAGGTTTTGCTTATGTACAGATGATTAAGTCATTATCAACACTTATTCATGAAATAATTGAAGTATGATCCCTAAATTAATTTTAAAATTAGTGAAGGCAATTATACAGACTTAAGTTGATTTTATTTAACAATACAAGTATAAGTATAAAAATGGCTGGATGATATCTTTACCAGATAGGGGCAGGGTTGAGAGAGACAGGATACTGTATCAGGGACTTAGGAGGTGGACCCGACCCTAGGCCAGAGTTTGCAGTGACAGAGCCTTATGAAGGGCCGTTTGAGAAGAAGAGACTGGCATGGGATGAGCCGCCTTATGACCCCTACAGTGTCCTCAGTATATATACTAGGCAGTATCAGGACAGAGGTATAATATACTTGATAAACCTGTGTGTTTCTGTAAAATCACGATTCAATTAGCTGTTCAAGGTGCATTTCCAAGTTCAGATATGTCACTGACTGAATTAAAAAAAAAAATTGGCTTGTTTCTGTTAATTAATGAATGAAATTTTTTATCTGTTTCTTCTCTGATAAAGGAGTTGAATTTGGCAAAAAGTTTGCTCTGTTTTGGAGATCACAATATGGTGTTTGTTCTTTCAGCCAAGGTCAGCACTGGGGTGGGGACGTCAGAGTTTTCCCCTCAGAGGCAACCCTCGCCCCCTGTCCACTCCTCCCCATCCCCTGTCTATGATGATGATTTCACCCACACTACCCCCTCTATCCGAAGTCACAAAGAAGAGTCGCATAGAAGTCAAGGCACGGCTTACAGTGGGTTGCAAAGAAGTGCAGGATCTGGCTCACACAAAAGTGGAACATCATTGAGATCTGGGAAAACGGGAAGTTACCAAGATGAGAGTAATCGTACAAGGTCTAAAAGGCGAACAAGAAGTCCTTACAGGTAGGTTTTCCATGTGGCATTATTAATTTGCATTTTTTTTATACCCATTTGATGTGATATTTGCAGAAGCTGAATGGTTTAATTGTATTCAAATTGACTAAAAAATTCAGAATTAAACTGTTATTTAGGCAGTTTGTTCTGGAAAGTTTTTCAAAGATAAAAAAATCAGGTTGCTTGTTAAAATGTAATGTTGGATTTTAATTTTTAATAAAAAACATTGAAATTTTTTTAGTCTTAGATAGGATAGAAAGTGTTGTTGGGAAAATTTTCTGCTCCATTTTGAGGAGACTGAACTTATCAGCTTCATGCAGACTATCATGTTGATGAGTACGTACACTGAAATTTTACTAATGTCCTAGTTGCATGCCTGTAACATACACAGAATGTAATGGATTTGATTGGTTTCTAATAGTAAATTCTTGTACTTGTAATAATAAACATGTGTGTTCCTTTTTTTATATAGATTTGAGTTGTCTTTAGAACAGTAGTCTTGTGAAGTACTAACACTTTTCTAATGAAACATTTTCTTGGTCTTTTTGTAGTTTTCTGATCACTTTTTATGTAGTGATGATTGTATAAGATTGCAGTAGTACTAGAACCAATAGTGGAACTAGCCGCTGCAGTAGATGAGTAGCAAATTGCTGTGATTGCTTTTTGTGTAATACGATTTCATTCTTCTAAGAACTCCAGGATTTCAGAGCTTGAAATAAAGGTGTAATTAGAATATTATGTGCTTTGATGTATTGGAAAATTTTTTTATACATAATACTTTTTGTATCAAGATAATTTTTGTAATAGACACACTGTTATTATACACAAAGGGTTGTAAAATGACATTAAATCAGAAAGGTACCTATATTTTGGAACAAAATCTTAAATCCAGGCTCTGAAATCTAGGTGTCATAACTAGTCCCACTGTTAAAAAAGATGAAGTCTTTTTGTTGCACTCTTGCAGGGTTATAATGCGCGGCAAATATAAATACTACCTTCCCAAGGACCGGTGGTATTATCGCAGGTAGATCTTCTATTAGACTGCCCTCTGGTTGATGAACTGACCTGTCACCTTATAAGACCTGTCAACATGGTGACGATGTTGACATTGACATTGCTGACACTGACATTGACATTGCTGACACTGACATTGTTGACATTTATGTTGCTGACAATGACAGTTGGCATTTACTTCATTGGCATTATCATCATTGCTGCTGACACTGACATTGCTGACATTGACTTTGTTGACACTGACATTGTTGGCACTGACTTCACTGGCATTGTTGGCATTGACATTGTTGATAAAGACATTGTTGACGATAATATTGATACTCTGCTGCATGATTAATAATGAATGGCTTTCCTGACATAGATACTGTTGACATGGGACTTGTTGACAAGGTCTTGCTATGATATCTACTTGTCTTATGTCTCTTTAGTAGATATGGAATCAATAATTCTTGTCTTCATTTTCATAGCTTTTGAAAAATTGTCATTTTAACATATTTAGGCGCACAGACCAGTAATCAAATGCACTGGTTGCATAATATGTACCAATAGCAAATCATAAAAAATAACTTAATGAATAGTATTTTCCAAAGAGGAAAAAAGTCATTCTATATTGGCACAAAAGAGACATCAAGACAAGAAGATTTTATCCCCAGCATTTCCCCTGTGTTCTCTCTGGAGATGGTCCCTCTGTCTCCTCTGTCTGTGTGTAGATGGTCCCTCCTGTGATATATGTACCTATGATAGAGCTACCAGTTTGCCCACAGCTGTGTTCAAAATTTAACCACACGCTCAGATTGCTTTATATGTAAATGTTAAAATCTGTATCCTATTAATAAGATGTCGAGAGAAGACCATCTAAAAGAAACATTTATCAGTCTATATATCAATTAATTGAATTATGATATTACTGAACTGTAAGTGACCGTTTATTCACTTTCTGTTAAAAAAATATACCAGGATTTTGCCATTAAAAATTAGGCATTTTAAAAAATAACATATAATTCCAGTTAAACAATTTTTTTCCTGTGAGCAGAATTTAAGAACTTAATTTTAGTCAAATAACTTCTCTTGCACCTAATCGGTGATAATTTTCTGAAAAAATACCAAGTATTTCGGATTTCATTGGCAAGATAACACCTATGTGAGACTGCTATTATATAAATTATGCATATATTTCCAAGGTGCAGATGAAGTCCTCAACAATGTTAGCATGCCTCTTTTTTTTGGAGAGTGCTTTGGCAGATCCATTGCCAAATATGGGCCCAAATTTTGTTTCTTAAATATATTGAGGCCTATGCCCAAATTGGTAAGAGTAAACAGAAAATACCAACGACAACAACAACTCATCAATAAATAAATAAAGTGAGTTAATAGGTCATCAGGCTGTATTTTGGACACAGCTGCTCCACTTTCCTTGATCCCCTAAGGCTTATTTGTTTGTTATATGTAGAATTGACACTGCTTGTGTATTATGGTTCCTATACATTATGATATTTATATATATATAATAATCAGTTGGGGGTTAATGTGCATTAAAGGAATTTCTTAATACTTCTTAGAGTCAGAGGTGCAATAGTGTTATTTTTAATAATTGTTTGATATCAAATATAATATTTTGTGCATTAATATCTGATATTCAGTTAAATTCATTACATTTTTCTTTTTTATTTATTATACATATTTATTTGTTTAAAATATTGCTAGGTTGGGTGTGGATCATGGTTGAGTTTGCCTGAGTTTGGGTTGGGTTGTGCAGTATAATGTATTGTCCGCTCTGTACCAATTGTGACAGTTGATGACTATGCTAACACACACACACACACACACACACACACACACACACACACACACACACACACACACACACACACACACACACACACACACACACACACACACACACACACAGCTGGAAGCTGACTGTGTATAAAATATATAATACATAAATAACTGTTTAACAACAAATTATGTTATGGGAAGACATAGGAAACACCTTGCGATATAATTACTAGTAATGTATATAATTTTATGTGTATATGTTTGGAAGGACCATCTTGTATTTTGACCACTATTCTGTTTACACCTGCCACGTTCTGATACCTTGGCATCCAAGGTCTGTTGGAAATGCTTTAACCAGCATTATCACTTAATTTGAGGCAAGTTTCCAATAGGCTTTAAAACTCAGGGTGACCTCAGGAAGGTCAAGGTCATGAAGGTCAAGGCCAGGGTCTCTTGGAAGTGAAATTTATGCCTAATTCTGTTCATGTTGCATGAAGCAAGCAAGCGTCTGAACATGACTATGTAACAGCTTATGGTGATTGTCATGGAATCCACTAGCTTTATATTCACATATGCCTTGATATGGTTGCTGACTTTCACTTAATTTATGCTTATGCATGTGAGAATACAGAGCATTGCGGCCTGTACAGTTTGCTTCCTGGATCTTTGGATAAGTGATAACTTACGATTAATTAATGAAAGGGTATAATGCAAGAGGTGAATTTCATTTATTTTGATGTTAAAATCAACATGGTAGTTTTAACCTGATGATGAAAAACAGCTTTTGTTTTATTTGGTATTGGCCTCTAAATTACACAAGGTATACAGTATGTCTACTTTGAATATACTGGCTCAAAGCTAAATCATAAGTATAGCTAATTGACAGCTATTTTGCACTCAGCTATAGCTTGAAATTGTGATGTGCTTATACCTGTATGGCTTCTAACAGACCACTGTTACCTGTGCCTTATTATATGATTATGAATACAGCTTCAATACAGATATTTATGGTGTCTTTTTATTGGTGATGGTGCATATTAGATACAGAGGGAGACAAAACTGTGTCATATGAATTGAATTATTTCACTCGTTTGATAGAGCTAGTTTGTATTAGTTCTACATGAATTTTTTTGTCAGCTGCATAAAAACCCAGCATTTTGACTGATACACAGCAGAAGTCAGAACTATTATGTATGTTCTGTAAAGAACTTGGCTTAATGAAAATAAACATGGCTGTTACTCCAGTCTGTTTGGATCAAATATTGAATAATTATAAAAGGAATAGGGGTTGTAAACACTGGAGAAATTATGGCATTTATTGGTAGAAAAGCATAAAAAAATTGATTCTTAAAACAAAACAAACAGAAAACAAACTTAAAGGCTATTTGTTCATTGTAGGAATGAAGAAAATCTATCACCTGGAGAGAGAGACGATAAGAGGGAAGAAGACACGTTGGGGGATTCCCTCACACAGTCACTTGAAAGGTGAGTGGGGTATCAGGGCAATTTTTTCCCAACCTCACCCTCACCCCAGAAGCCTATTTTCTTAATAGATCTGTATTATATACAACTTTTTATGTGGAGAATTTTATCTTTTTGTATTTATTTTTCATGATATTTTTCTGTGATAAACAGAGTTTAATACTTGCAATACCCAGCTGTAGTACTTGACTTGGTTACCAACCTACAATAAGTAAATTGAATATATGGCCACTATTATTACTACCATTACGTACACATCTGTTCTAGTGATGAGGATGTCAGAGAGAGTCCGCCCAGTCCTAAGCCAGTCCAGTCCCTCTCCCTTGTCCCTAGTAACCGTAGTCGAGTGGACGACTCTCTGGACTCGGACTTGTCTAGTCTGGGGGACGAGGAGACGAGAAGGGACCCTTTATCTCTGGCCTCTAAGGTTGGTAGGGGTTTCATGTTGTGGTCATAAACAAAACATTTTACTATTATTTTTTATTTTTTATTTTTTATTTTTTTTCACTTTGTGGGATTCTATCTTTTCACTCTTATGGGACCTTTTATTTTAAGTAAATAATTCACTGTTTCAATTTTGCCAGTTATCTCACCTTTAGGTTGATCTCATTATGCAGTTATTATTGTGATCTGCTGACTTGTCATTAGGTAGATTAAGAACAGACTTTGTTACCCTTAATTGTTTGTATGTATGTTCATGCCTTTTTTGAAGTATGGGAGTGAATTTATGCTGTGACACAGATATATATATATATATATATATATATATATATATATATATATATATATATATATATATATATATATATATATATATATATATATATATATATATAATTATCACACCCTGCATGTACTTCCAGCTGACGGCAGGATCTCCCAGGTCGTATCCCCCTGCAGAGACCAGGCTGGCACCTGATATGCTAGAACGCCGCATGACGGCCGAGCTCAACTTGTTGGATGGGATGGAGGAGTCCCTACGCCACCTGACTGATGTGGAGCGAGCCAGAGGGATCTCCATGACACAGCAAGAAACCGTTTCTCTGGCACAGATTCTGAAGGTATGAATATGGTGTATTTCATATACAGGTACCTATAAAAAGTCATTTTTCTGGGAGTTCTTAAACAAACTGTTTATGTTTCTTATATAGATGTCTATACACTGTTTTTATCCAAAGGGCTTAAAAAGTGCAGTGAGTTTAAATTTTTAACACCTCAAATCCTACTTGCTGTTATTCAGAGGAATTTCAATTTTATATATACTTTCTGTACCCTTGTTGACAGATTGCCAAAATATGAGAGAGATTTCCAGTTTGTGTGTGAAAAATATAAAAAAATATTAAATGCTGTATTTTCTTTAGGGTCGTCAACAAACTCACAACCAAGACATGAAAGATCTCCACATGAAATTGCAACAAGAGCGCCTGGAGTCTACAAGACAACTAGAAGAGGCTCAGAGGCGAGCAGCCGAGGCCAGTCGAGAGGCTGCACGCGCCATTGCTGAGGTTCGTGGCGATGCTGCGACCAAGATTCAAGACTCCACACATAGGTTGCTGGAGACACAGGCAGAGGCGGCCAAGGCCACGGCTGAGGCAGCACGCCAGCTGGCAGGGGTGAGTTGATAGAAAAAAAGTGTTCATAGTTTGTATTGATAGAAGGTAAATTTTTTTTTAATTTGATATATTTTGCTTTGAAATTTTAGATGATTGGTATTTCAAAAATGGATGTTGTGGAAATGTTGAAAATTCAACATGATGTTTGATTTTTAATCTTTCAGATAATGAAATCTGCTGCAGAACTTCTTTCACCAAAAAGCCAGTAAATTATAAATTGCACCAAATATTAGAAGTCTTAATTTTTTCTTTCTTTTACAGTATGAAATACTTAATAATGACAGATGCTCATTCCCTTTTGCACAATATAAAATTCATCCTTTTCCAAGTCACATATTTTATATATTAATTATTTATGTTTCAGGTGGCCTCAGTGTCCCAGTCAGCCACAGCCCAGGCCCTGGATTCTAACAGAATAGCCAGTGATGTGGCGACAGCAGCAGCCTCAGCAGCAGTTACAGCAGCCCTGGACCAGCAGAGACAACAACAGATGGACTTTTGGAGACAGGTAGGCAGACATGTGTTGGTTTGGTTTTCTGTTTTTAATCCATGGACATTTTCTTTTTGTGCTAAGATGTTACCATTATACATATTGCACTTTATGTTTAATCCAGTAGACAGTGTGTATCACAAATAATTCATTCATCACCAGTGATGTTTTCTGTGTGCATTAATGGTTGTAAATTCCAGTCCTGTTTTATCATGTTGTAACCATTCTGTTATCACAGGCCCGACAGTACACCTATGACAGAAGCACCCAGGTGTCAGCGGCTTACTCTGCAGGGAGCAGGACCAGAAGTCCGCCTACAGCCAGCTATAGTCCCGTCAGCAGGACCCGGAGCCCTCCCACCGCCAGCTACGGGGGAGACAGCTTTGAGAGTGGCAGCAAGTCTGAGACTGAGGCCAAAACCAAATCTGGAAGGTCATTGATTGTGGCTTTATATCTTTTTGATTCAAATTTTTTCACAGATTTCCTGAGTTCTTTGATAATTGTTGGTAGCGATTTTTTTCCACAGGCATATGTTGACCCTTTGTACCCCATTGGATATTTAGATTTTGTTGTTTGGAGAATTTTCTTTTAATATTTTTCTTAGCATGCTATTTTTTTTTTTTTTTTAGTTTTTATTTGAAGCTGCTAAACCTCTTTGATGTTGTTTACCATGATAACCACTATACTCAATCTGTTCCTCTTCACCAGTTTGACCATTGAAAAGATACTAATTTGGATTAAAGTTATCTTTTAAGTTGAACAAAAGAACCAGTTTGCTAAGCACAATATCACTTCAGAGACTTTCCGTTTGTTTGTTTGTAGAAAGATATACAACAGGCAGAAGCATCATGAAAGCTAGCCTTTGACTGATTGATCTTTACTTCTTGGGTTGATTTTATGAGGATGAAAAACACCAATGGTTTATCTATCTTTCAGTGAGAGTGCTTCAAGCATAAGGACGGCCAGTGACCTGTCAGACCCCGGCAGGAGAGGGGCCTCTCAGGACACTGATTCTCCAATACTGACAGCCAGTGATGCTAAACCCCGCCACCAGGAGGAGTCTGACCAAGACAAGACCCTGACAGAGAGCATAGTGGAGGATCTTCACAGTGACAAGACTGAGAGTGTTACAGAGGAAATCCCCAGTGATAAAGGTAGCAGTTTCATATATCTAACATATACAGCAATAAAAAGTGAAAAAGAATAACTGTAATAGGAGAAATATTAAATATTAGATATTTAGATTGGCTACAGTGGGTGTTATATTTTAAAATACATGTTATGATAACATAATGGGCCATACTAATGTCTACCCATAGTAATTTCTATACAAATAAAGGCAGCACATCCACGTGTGTAAAAATCATAATCTTAATACCTTTATCATCTCTCTTCTCTAAAAGACTACTCTATGAAGTTTGACGAGTCCATGACAGAAGATGAGATTGAGGACCAGTCATTTAGAGCTTTGCTGCCCTCAGAGACCCACAGACGTAAGGCCAAGAAAGAGGAATACAGGGTGTCAGATCACGGGTCCTTGTCCTCTGAAGAAATGCAGATCTCTGGTGAGTAGATAGGACAAGCACTTTTGTCAGGGGAGGGGGCTGTAACCTATTGATGCAATACTTTAATTTACTTATTTGCCATTCATGCATTGAATAGTTGTCAGTTAAAAGATTGAGGGGGCGTGCTATTTAGTTGCTATATACATGTTTATTCAGAAACCTTTTACATTGGCTAACATATATGCATTGTCTTTGATAAAATTTAACAAAGAGCTTTTCTTTATGATAGGCAATTTTGTCATACCAACAAGTCAAATTGACCAAGCAGAATGGTAGAAATATTTTTTTCCTTTTTTCTGTTTCCATTTGTACTCAATGCACATTAATAGTTCACTTTCAGTTGAGTTTTTGAAAAAAGAACCAGTTCTTATACACAAATATTGTTCCAGGTGTGCTGAGTGTGTCAGAGCTACATGCTCCATTCCATGGTGAAGACTCTTTCAGTAAGTTCACAGCTGAGATGGTCCGGCAGTACATGAAGGAGGAAGAAATGAGAGCTAAACATCAGGTACATTGACAGGTCCCCTAACAAATATATAGCACATGTGAATAGTAAAAATAATTTATTAAAACCACCTTCCACAAACCTCTTAGTGCTGTTTACAAATATTATTACAGAATTATGTAACCTAAAAGCACTTAGATATGTTCAAAACTAGGAATAACATGTCAAAACATGACTGTCTGAAGCAACAGGGTAAGACATTACAGTAACAGTCTTTCTGAACTTTTGTTATAATTATTTTATCTGTAGAATTTTTTTGTCATGGTGCCTATGTATATGATAATTTGGGATGAAATGTAATTTTAAGGGGGCCTTATTCCGTCTGCGTGAGAAAGCGTTGGAGGAGAAGATGAAGGCGGAGCTGGCGTGGCTGGACCAGCAGAAGAAGCAGCTGAGAGATAAAGGATCGGATGATGCCTATCCGCAGATTGTCAAGAAACAGAGAGGGCTGATTATGAAGTATAAGAAAGAACAGGTGAGGACGCCATGTTGAATTAAGGATCAGACTGATGATCTTTTTAACTTGTGTTTAATCTTTTGTTATGTATAGTCATTTTCAAAGGGTTTGTTGTGTCTCATAACTGTCACTTTTCTAAAATTGGGCCTACAATTGATGAAGTTTTCTGGGATAGTTAAAGAAGATTGTGGGCCAACAATAAAGATTTCAGTCGTGGAGTCTGCAAGTTGGCACATTACAAGAGTATTGTAAAGGTTTTACTTATTTTTTGCCTAATGTATGAGATGTATTTTTTAAATCTATACTGGTACTGTCAGTGAAATGAGTTTATCAACATACAGCATAATAGATTCTGAAATAGGACAGCAAATTGTCTGTGTGACAATTGGACATGTACAAGTATATAAAGAATGTGACATTTTCATTGCTATCTTCCACCTTGCAGGCTGAGATCAAGAGACTACAGGAAGCTAATAGAATCGCCAGTCGTGAGCGCCAGTTGCTTCTCCAGCAGCACCAGGAGATCGCGCGTCTCCGCCAGTCGGCCCAGCAGGTCAAATCCAAGCTGAAGGACAGCAAGGGGGATGGGATCGAAACAACACACAGTGAGGACGAGACTGGGCACAAAGACAGCTTACAGGTGATTTATTTATTTATTGTGAATTATTGTAATTAAATCATATCACACTTGATATATTTTCATTGCATTTATTTATAAGAATTGTAAATATTGAATGATTTTATAATTAAACTTTAATCATTAGTGTTTGTATTCATCAAATGTTTGAAAATCCAATAAAAATACTTCATATTATTATTAAGCCAAGTCTTTAATCAGATTGTGGAAAATTAACTTAAATTTAGACATTCCATGTAATCTCAGATATTGATATTCTCATGCTGGTATTGATATTTTCTTACAAAGCATTCCTTACTGCTTAGAAATTCAGATATTCACAGATGTATAGGAGAAAGGAAAGATATTTACAAAAGCAGAAAAATCACTGTCATATTGATGATATGATATATATGTATTCATAATGAATACTTCCAGTTACCAGAGGAGTTTCTTCAGAGCCACCTGTCCAGGCAGGAGTCCAAGTCAGACACAGAGGTCTATGTGGATAGTGGTCAGTTGTCCAGTCGCCGTTCACCGTCACCCTCATCACGACCAGATGCCAGAGTGATGAAGGAGTTGAAAAAGTTACATTTGGATGAAAGGTAAAATTATATTAGGAGTTCTTATGTCTTAACAGTTGAAGTTAACAGGGATGAGATTTTTGCTACTGTCGGTGGATTTCAGACTTTGTGGGAGTCAAAAATTTCATTGGCCTAGGTGGCTTCCTGGACCCCATGGTATATTTTCCGAGTTTTTCAATAAATGGCAGGCTAATTCAAGAGTTAAGTGATTTTATGCATTGTGGAATGGCAAGTCTGTGACAATAATATTTCCAATAACATGTTGCAAATTTTACAAACAGTCACACTTATTTGTCTGCTGTTAAATGGTTAAGACATTGAACTATCATAATGGACAGTCTGTATATAAAATACCACATAAATTGGAGGTTGAAATCATTTGCAGCTCACAAGTGTTACTGGCTTATAATTTTTACTGTTACATGAAAATTGCTTGCAATTTGCAGTGATGAAATGATGTAATAAGTGTAATATTCCTGCAATTTTGATAGTTAACTTGAAATGAAGCATTATTTTGGAAAATGGCCCATTTATCATGTGTATATACTGAAACCCTTTTAGGCACCTGACAGTGCGTGAGGTAAAGCTCCAACAGCGCCGAAGACATGCAGAGGAGCTCCTGGCATGGAAGAAACGTCTTGACCAAGAGGAGAGGGAGATCAAAAAGATGGAACAACAGGCCGTAGAGGTCAGACTGGACGATGCTGACCGCAGGAGGAAGGGCAAGAAAGGGAAGGAGAAAGAAGGGAAAAGGGAAAAAGGTGAGTATTGCTGAGTACAGCTCCATGAAGTATGCTTCTCTTATACATTATTGCTGTTTTTGTAAATATTACGTGGATGTTTACTGATGTGGTGTGTGTGTGTGTGTGTGCGTGCGTGCGTGCATGCGTGTGTGTGTGTTTGCGGGGATATAGATAGTAGGTAGATGTATTTCTAAGAGGACCCTACATCTGAGTGGGTGTTTCTCGGTAAAATTAATTGGATGAAAAAGGAGGGTACTGATTAATACAAAGGATACATGGTTGATTTTTTGCATGTGTCTCAGGCTATTTAGTTGAAATTCAAAAACCATTCACCCTATTACAGACAAGCCCCAGGAGAAATCTCACTCCATTTCTGAAAACCTCCCTCCATCCACCGGAAGTCCAGTTCTGGACGGGTCAAGGCTGGACGGGTCACGTCAAGGAGCCAGTGGTAGCGAGAGCTCCATAGCGGAGGACGTCCCATCCCCAGTGCACACAGCCAGCAAAACTGGTAGCTCCATTGCTGAAGATATCCAGGTAAAAGTAGAACTATATATAATATAGTTAATATAACTAATACTGGAACTTAGCAACTGCCCAACATTGGGGTCTCAACCTGAAACCTTTCATTAGGTAAATGTCCCTGATGTACTGGTCACCTGATGTATTGTCATATGGCTTTGAACGTCAGTCAATTGCTTACTTAAGTTCCAGTATCAGAGTTACACACTTTTTATTCTAATTCTACTGGATGAATAAAAACATGTCAAGGGATGGACATGGTGGAGAATAATTAACAAGCACAAAAATGACCATGCACACTCTCTTTTGTTTGTCAACCTTTATGGTTCTGACAACTGTTTTATATCTTGTTTTCAGCCTGAATATAGTAGTAGTATCTGTTACTTTTTATATTTAATATCATTGCTGGTATAAGCAACAGAAGTATAGTGTGATATAATTCACATGCATATGCATTCAGGTTATTTTTGGTGAATTAGTGGTTGTAAATATTATCTCTCAGAATTATGTATTAACCTGTTCTGTGTTGATTTCTAAAGTGAACAGCTTTGTAGAATGGTATTTATAACAGCTGATGAGGCAGTGAGAACTATACTGTTCAATGCAAAAGATTAAATTTTTGGGCAATAAGAATTGATGGGATGCAAAGAATTGCTGATCATGACAGGCTGGTCTTACTTTTGATGTGAAAACAATTATTTGAGCAGTTGTGCATGATGTCTGTTAAGGGATAAAATGTTCATAAAGGTTGCATTGAATAAGGATTTTTTGTCCAAAGATATTGTCGCAGGATTGTTCAAAATTATAACTTTTATTATTGTTATATTATTTTATGTTTTAACCAACTTGAAGTTATAATTACAAAACTTAACAAATTTATCAAAAGTGTGGGTTGTGTTGTATTTTAAAAGATATTGTTCAATTACAGACACCCTCTGTCTCTGATGCCAAGAGCAAAGGCCACAACAGAAGTGAAAGTGAAAGTTCCATACAGGAAGAGGTACTCAGTGAGGTCAAAGGTGAAGTCAAGGTCAAGGGTGAAGGTCACAGAAGAAGTGGAAGTGAGAGCTCTGTTCCAGAAGAGGTTCCTTCGCATGCCAGTAGCATAGCTGAAGAGGTCCACACAGAGACTCCAAGAAAACAGAAGTAAGTTCTGCTAATTTTTTTGGAATCACTAGTGCATGAGTCTCTAAGCATGATGATCTAGATGTATTTAATTGAGTATGAGTGACACCTGATTTAAATGGTCATCAAAGCTGAACTTGACGAACATTAAATTCCCCATATAGATGAACTTGTACCTACAGACTGTATCATTTGCCTGTGGTTTCTAGCTAAATAAAATATGCTGATTTTAACCACACACCAGCATACATTTATATGTATATCCAATCAGTCGATTTAAATACAAAAATACAAAGCTTAAATATGCACCTGTAGGATTAAACTGCATTGCCAAAAAAAAAAAAATAATAATAATAAAATAAAATAATAATAATAATAAAATAAATAGATAAATAAATAATAGCAATAATAATAAATGACAAGATGAAAAATGTCACTGTGTCAGAAAAGTAGCTGACTTTTTTTTAAACCTTACTCTATCCTTCATTTACAGACAAAAACCTAAGCCAGTTGTAACTGTGCTTTTTTCTTTTCATTTGGTCTCTTTCATTCATTTGATTGTGGATTTTAAAATTCATTTGTGTGTTTTTGTGGTCTTCATTGTTTGGCTTATCATGTAGACCAACATCTCCCATTGATATTTTTTCATTATTTGCCCCCCCCCTTCCCCCCTTCCATATGCAGTCCATTTCCACTATAATAAATGGCATATTTGCAGTTATTTGTTACTTTTCTATTTGCATCTTAGAGATACAGTAGACTACTGACTCAATTCAGATCTGTTGAGTCATGAAAATGTTCTCAAGTTACACAAAAATTTGAGTTGGAATTGTTCATATTATTTTCAACCAATGGCAAAGAAAAAATCTGTTACAGTAGAGATTGCTAGTTTTTCTGTTTCATAGTGGTTTCATTTGCCCCTATGTGAGTCATGAAAAAAACTTTGCAATTTTGACTGCCTAATTTTAACAATTTAGGTGCAATTATGCCCTGCATTCAAGGCATCATTTTATTCTGCATCTCTTGCATCCCTGGGCGTGTTGTACTTTCAGATCATCGTACTCCAGCGATGATACCACTCACAACGGCTCAGCTAATGGTGAATACTCCAATGACACTTTTGAGTCCACGGATACTGGAAAGAAGGAGGTATCTCGCGCCAGCAAGTTGTCCAAGGCAATCTCTAAAGGTAAGCTTTAAGTAGCTGTGTTTAAAATTAACTTGACAGATATCCTTAGATATTAAGCAAAATGCCTTGTCATCAAGTTTTCAGTATTTGAGGATTGTTATATTATACAAAAAGTATAATCAAACAATTATTGTAAAAAAAAAAAAAAGGCAGGAATAAACACTACATTTATGCATTGTGTAGGTATCTAAAATTGCTGGAGTTTTGGTATGGATATTTTATTGATTGATATAGTTTTCATGAATTTTGTTGTTATTATGTTTTTTTTATGACTGCTTTAAGTTTACTCATTAATACCAGTATTTAAAATTTTATGATAATTTTCACGAAGAGAGGAATATATCAGTGACAAGTGAGCTTTATGTTTTGCTTTTTTTTTAAAAATAACTTCATGATAACTCCATATACAAACCACAGAGTTATCAAGTTACATGGACATCGGTTACCAGCATTAAATAATGCACTACAATGAAATAGCATGGAGGTGAGACAAGCAGATGTGATTATCATTATTGACCCAGTTGATCAGGAGGCTGTATGGTATTGTACTGTATCAGCTGGTCCACCAGTCTGCTATCTAATCACTTCTACACACATTAACTACACCGCCTCAGGGGCTGAACATGCCCCGTCGGGGCCACTGCACGTGGATGAGCAATAGGGATCCATGTGTGAAATTTACATTTGGCAGGTGCTTCCATGTTAAGGTCTGAAAATGGATGGTGGTGATGAATCTTTTTTCTCTCACCATATCTGACCTCTGGGACCTATCAACTGCTTGTTGTTTTACTGTAAAATTGTTTTTAATGTGTTCCTGAGCTACATTGGTGTCATTTTTACATGATTTGATGGCAAAATGATGTTGATTTGATACAAAGTAAATAGGAAATCAATGTTTTGTAGTACTGTCCTGTGAGAGGAGAATTTATCTGGGGAACTTTATTTTTAATATTCAAATTAAGTATACGCTCACAAAATTGACTTGGTAGTTTTTCCAAGTCGGACTTTATTATATACTACTTATTGTCTCATTTGCTCATTCATTTTAAGTGGAGAGGAACAGAAAATAAACTAAGAATCACTTTAATTCATATCCCATGATTATATTTTAAAACAGTCATGTGGCAAAGCAAAAATAATAATTCAGTTGACAAAACTCACAAGTCGTAATTTCTGAACTAATAAGTGTAAATAAGACAAGAGGCCAGAACTAGAATGATATTTTCTCCCATTTCCCTGAAATATTTAATTCCCCTAGAATATGCACCGTCCATGTAAGACCATGTAACAAGCTGCAGTCACTGTACATTGTTTGATTAGTGTGTCAGATAGGGGACAGGGATGATACCCAGGTTATATTATGAAAATCAAAACAAGAAGTTTACCTTAAAATCGCCACAGCAGGATCACATCATGTCATGTTAGGAAAGTGAATGTAGGCAGGGGCACCAGCTGGATGCCATGGTTGTCATGACATATTTTGGGAAACAAGAAAGGTATTATATCTATTTTCACACATCTCATAGCACAGATCTATGAATAGGGTAGGTGTTGTTGACATTTTGTGATATGTCAGTTTGTAGACTTAGGATTTATTATTTAAGTGTTGAGTACTATTATTTTTAAGTAATTGGTTGTTATAAATTCCAATTACTTAATATAATAAATGTATTGCCTTGTGAGTGCACTTGATAGCAGATTTTCTAATGGCACAAAATTCTTCCCAAGTCTTTAAAGGTAGATTGTCAACAAATTGAAAATGCTTCATATTTTATTGTGCCTTGTTATCTTTAGTCTGTAGGATAAAAGCTGATGGGCTAGTAGATCTAGTCGGTTCTGGTGTAAAATGTGAATTTCTTAAGGAAAATTTTATCTTTAAAACAGGTTTATTTGTTAACTGGATTGGCATTGCAAGTCAGTCAGGATTGTATAAATGATGACCAGTTTCTTGTCTATCTTTGATTGGCATTTTTATTGTTAAAAAAACTTAAGAATTTGGTTGTTGATGGCTGTATTCTTTCCTTTGGGACCAATTATCTAGAATAATTGTGGTATTTTTACTTCACCCAAACGGAAGAAAATTGCCTTAGTTGAGCTATGAAAAGAAAGTGTGGAGAAGTTGAATTTACATTGAGAACAGGTTGCCTATCTTTCCTATGACTTTTCAGTGTGGGTCACATGATTGAGTTCTAAGCTTGCCATTGGCAGAAAGAGCAATCCGTATGTTCTCCTATCAGCCACCTTGCCCATGAGGGGGCTAAGCAAGGCAACTACATTAACTTTTTTTTTCATTTATGTATTCCACATTTATATATTTTATTGTTGCTATTTATCTTGGAAAATTGAACTTCTTTGAACCTGCAATTGTGGATCCTGTGTCTCGTCTCTTTCAGAAGGAAATCTTTCACTGAAGTCTCCACGATCTCCGCGCTCACCTTTTGCCAATCGTCGTAAAAGTTCTGAGACAAGCGAGTCTGAAGAATCTTTCTCATATGCTCAATCAGGTAAATACTTCATCATTAACGAATTGCAGGGGAAAATGCAAAACTATATTTTATGATGCAACTTGCCTTTTAACAATTCCATCAAGAAATACAATTTCAGTCAGGAATAATTCAGTTGCACATACTTTTAACACTCAAACCAAGTATTTTGTCTTAAGCCAAGTACTTTGTGTTCTGAGCAATGTATCATTTTTTAAATCCAGAGACAGCCTCAGACCAGAGTGATGTGGAGGGGAGAATTCGAGCTCTGGCGGAAGACCTGAAGAGACGCAAAATTGAAGCTGAACGGCTAAAACGTGAACAGAAGAAGAGACACAAGGAGAGACTGAGGGCTCAGGAGGCATCCCTGAAGAAACAAATAGAGGTAGGGGTGTCAGAAAATGTCACTAGTTTTACACTGTTTTTTTTTTTTTTTTTAGCCCTTAAGCATTCACTTTGTGTGTGTGTGTGTGTGAGTGTGTGTGTGTGTGTGTGTGTGTGCGGGTGTGTGTGTAAATGCATCAGAACAAGTTTTAACGTAAAAGTTGAAAATCACTTTCTTAAGCTAATGTTATGCTATAAGATTATTCTTCTCTGTCTTTAAATTGCTCCCATGGTTATTCTCTTGACAAATGATTTTTTCCAATTTTTTGAGTATGCTCTTTTTTAGGCCTACGACAATGTAATTGTCCAAATAAAACAGGACCTGACCAAGGAACTAGAACTAGAACCAGTCAAGGGGTCCGTCAAACCTCAGATCAAACAACCCAGAGTTGCAGAAAAGAAAACATTGCACAAGCACGAAGATGTGCCACAGCCTGAGACTGTGAAGCAGAGGAGTGAATCTAGAGAGAGCTCCATCGCCGAGGAGGGGAAAGAAGGCGGAGAACCCGGCACCCCAGTTACCGCACAATCACCAAGGCTATCACCCTCTCCTCAGCTTGATGGTAAGCTGACCACTGCATTTACTTGAAGATCTTGCAAGGATTCATCAAGATTTTACTCATCAAGATTTTACACTTATTTCATTCTATGATTAATGTGTAACCTGCAGATAAGCAGTGTAGACATATAATTCTTTCTGTTTAAATTGATTTGGTATTGAAACTGATAGTTTCATATTTATTTGTCGAAATATTTCTTAGATAAAACCTGTATGTTTAATTTTAAAAAGTGAATAAGTCACAAAAACTCATTTCACACCTATATTGTCTTATATTTTCAGATACTCTTAAATACCAATCTCCTCTGCGTTCTGAAGCCTCGACCCCAACACGACCCTCATCATTGCCCAAGTTCTTGCCAGATACCCTACGTCTTCAGCGTAGCCCCACACGTGAAGAATCAAAATCCAAAGCTGAAGAAAGGTCAAGGTCAATCTCAGAAGAGTTGGCAAAGTCTGGATCAGAAATAAGTGAGGAAATAGGGGAAGACATTTTCTCCCCTAGAAGTGAAGCATCAGAAAAGTCTTCTGGAGATATGATTCTTAAGTTTGATGGTGTTGGAGGAGGAAGTGTTGCTGAACAAATCTATGAGAGGTCAAGGTCAGTGAAGGACACTGCGAGGTCAAAGTCACAGGATGGAACCAAAAAGTCAGAGACTGAGGAGTATGACTATGGGGAGGACTTCACCAAGGCAACAGAGGAGCAGACTGAGGTGCAAAAATCTCTCAAGTCTGTGGAGTCAGAAATACAAGAAGACATTGAAAGTGAAGCTGATTTGAACAGTCAGAAATCAGACGCATCAACACACAGTCAAAGGTCAGTGAAGAGTCAGCATTCGGCTGCTTCCTCACACAGTCAAAAGTCTTGGAGGAGTCAGAGGTCAGAGTCATCAGTTAGAAGTAGAAAATCAGATGTAAGCCACAAGTCTGAAGTTTCTGAGAGGAGCAAGAGATCAGAAGTCTCGAAGGCTGATAGTGAAAGGTCAAAGGGCACTAGGTCGAGGTCAGCCAGCGAGGCTTCTGAAGCCAGCTATTCAGATGACTTCTCATCTTCCTCAGAGAAAAAATTTGTGAAATCTGACATTTCTAGAGCCAGCTCGCGGCATTCTCAGAGGTCTGTCCAACAAGATGAGAAGACTGCCAGCGTTGGCGAAAGCATCCATAGCGAGGATGAGGTCAGCGAACGTTTATCAGTGCAGAGTCAGGACAGTGAGCAGTCGGGACAGATGCTGGATTTGTCACGCACCAAGGGGGCTGTAGAGGATGAAGATCGCACGCCAGTTCAGTCACCCTCATGGCTGGTCCATGAAGAACCTAGGATACTGGACACCAGCACCCCCCTTGCAGAGCCTCTCACACGGTTTAGCATAGGGGACAGGGTATTGATAGACAGCTCCAAACCAGGGAGACTTTTGTACAAAGGCACCACATTATTTTCAGATGGGATTATGGCAGGTGTGGAGCTGGATACAGCAGAAGGAGAGGGGGATGGGACAAAAAATGGTGTCCATTACTTTGACTGTAAACCAATGCATGGGGTGTTTGTGACTGCAGATAGATGTCAGCACCTTCCAGCAGAATTTGAAGTAAAAGCAAGACAGGACAAAGAAGATATTGAGGAGGAGGAGGCTCCCAGTGAACACACTGTCACAGAAGAAGTTCCCCCTGAGGAGCCACCAAAATCACCAGAATATTCAGATGATTTTGATGGGTCAGAGGTTGCAGGTGAGGGTCAAAAGTCCCGAAGTGAGGGCCGGGAGTTGAGAGGTGAAGGTCAGGAAGCAATTTCTGTTAAAAGTGAGGAGAAAGAGGAATCTATTCAGGAAGAGGTGTCCGTTGCCACAGATAGTGAGCTGGAGCGGGTAATTAGCTCTGCTGCACAAGCTGTTGAACAGTTTGAAGAAACATCCCCAAGAGATGTGGATGAACATGTTTTGTCATCAACTGCTGTGACGCCTAGAGATTCTGTCCCAGAGGATACCAGACAACAGGGGGCAGCACCAGCCAGAAACCTTGACACTGTAGTGGATAAAATAACAGATAGTCTTACTGCAATGATTATCAAGGATTCTGTGACTGTTATTGGAAAAATAGCAGAGAAGCAGGGCTACAGTACACAGGGTAGAAATGATTCCAAGGAAATTGTGGAAAAGGAGTCCGAGGGAAAAGAGAAACCACACACGCCATTCTTGGATCTGCTAACAAAAGAACAGGAACAGTTTGATGAGAGTGTCGAAGACTTTGAGGAAGATTTCCAGAGAGAGCTACAGGCCTCTCCCGAGACCCCTGCAGTTCTACCTGCTCAGAAAGCCGACATTGTGCCACAGTTGCCCAAACCCAGTGAAGATAGTGCCAAAACTTCAGAAAAGGACATCACCACCAATACAGTCCTCAACGACTTGCTCAATGATGCCATCTCAGATATGCTCAGCATACGAAGGAAACAAACTGAAAAATTTGCAGCTGAGACTCAAACTGAACAGTCCTCTTTAAAGCCAGATACCCCTGAAGATCTCCCCAAAACCCCGGTGACCCCAGATCCAGAGAGTCCAGTGGCCGTGGACAAGCTGACCCCAGACGTTGACCTTACAGATGAGGACTTGTTCTCAAGGGTCACCATCAGAGAGAGGGAGGAGTTGCAAGCAGACACCCCACTTCCTGCCAGACCAGTGTCACCAGTCTTTGGAGGAAGTCAGGTGAGTTTAAGAAAAGACATGTGACTTGTGGTTTTACCCAATTTTTTTCCTGCATATCTGATATTATTGGTTTCTTATTACTCCAGTGTTTTCAGTAGCTACGTATCTGGTCACATTTAGAAAAACTAAACTATATTGCTCCTGATACAGCCTCTCCGTCATCAAAGCACTCCTATGATTTATTTTACAAACATATGCTGGACAAGTGTCAGAAAAAATAACAAAAATTAGATTTTTTTAGTGCTTTGCTAGACTTTTTTCATTGGAAAAGTAGTAATCTACCCATACAAAAAGATCCCTTTCCCACATATACAGTGTGGTTTTTGGGTGTTATAATACACTGAAGTTATCTACCCTTCTGTACAACCATACACCCTGCTACTGAGGTACAGTGACCCATCCTTAGAATGCTCTGATGTACAGTGCTCTAGTAAAAATGTGGTTTGCGGGTGTTATTATACTTGCGGATTATGTGCAGGAGGGAGTTTATTGATAATGTTATAACAATAGTTTAAATCTAACCCACAGCATGGCATATCTGCTCTGGATTTGCTGGGACTGGAGGAGTTTGGAGGCAACGAGTGGATGGATGACGACTTTGGGCTTAGTCTTCAGAGACAGATACCAGACAAGCCACCTCCTCCCTACCCAGGTACTGCCATGGAGCTAGGTAAGGAGAACATCCCCCCCTCTCTCTCTCTCTCTCTCTCTCTTCTTATTCTTCACTCTCTCTCTCTCTCTCTCTCTCTCTCTCTCTCTCTCTCTCTCTCTCTCTCTCTCACACACACACACACACACACACACACAAACACCTACAGGCCTTCTCGATTTATTAGGAAATTAGGATTGTTGTGTATTGTAATCATGCCATCCTCCCTCCCGCCAATCCCAAATATTGCTGCATGCCTATTTTGTCTTTAACCGTCCCTATATTTTTAAATGCCCAATTTCATCTCTGAGTACACTTTGTACTATTGGAAGACTGCATTTGGCATGGTACTATCACTCAAACATCCACCCAACCCACACTCCTGTCTTTAAAAACTTACCCAAGGGGCTGCATTGAACAGGGCAATCAATGTCCCACCCTCTCCCACCCTTGGATACACTCTGCTGTATTCCCATTTCCATATACATTTATACACCCAATCATACATTGCACAGGGCAGACTAACGAATTTAGATAATATCCTATGTACCATAATGGTGTATTGGCCTTCTGTTACCCACATTTCTGTAGGGCTAACCTCACCCAAACTTGCCAGGTATACACGAAAGAACAGGGTGTTATTGACTGAAGGTGGCGCCTGTGGTCCCCACTGGAATTGTGCCCCATCTTAAAATCTCCCACCCCAGATTTATGAATATTCTCAGTGGCGCCCCCTTTAAGTGGCCCGCAAGACACACCTATTACTATCTGCCATGCTCAAGATACACATCTGCACAGGAATAAGACACACTATTATTCAAGTTTGGTCGCATATTTTGTACCTGTAAAGGTAAAGATATTTATGCTCTTTGAGTCTGGATCATGATTTTCGGGGTAAAAATTGTCACTGCTTAATTGGCCCCCTACTGGCAGTAATAATTGATTGAAATCAATATTTTATTTTGTAGCACCAAAGCAAGAGTACTCAAAGTTGGATCTCCAAAAATTGACAGAAGAGCTGTTTTATGCCGTCCCCCATAAAAAAGAGGAGGTGATCAAATTAACGTGGAATGCAGTCGATGCTTTCTGGGCTGCCAGGCGCTATGGAGAGCCGTTTGACTCTGTGATGCCCCCTGGTGATTATTTTACATCTGAGGACAGAGGGCAAGATATAGAGGCTACAAGTAGGAGAGTTTACAAAAAGATGATATTTGAACTTGTTGGTGATTTAATCAAAGACATTTATGCAGATGAGGAGGATTTGACACCCGAACCTTGGGAAAAGCCACGGAAAATTCAGCACCGCTATTACAAGGGCAAGGCACCGCCAACTACATGTGATCACTTGAAGGAAGTGGTGGAGCACCACGTGTTAAACTTAACAGGTCTTTCCAAAAGACCTAAGATGGATGAGAAGACTGTTAAACTAGGAGGCCGCAAGAAGAAGGATTTGGTAGACTTGATATTAGTCCAAGAGTTACGAGAAGAAGAACCTTCATGGGTAAATTACGATGACGATGAATTAGCTGTGAAATTTCAGCTTGCTGATGCCATATTTGACTCTTTGCTTGTGGAAACTGGTAAAGTTTTTACAGATGCTTTACAGAGATATGAAAGCAGGACAAACTCATCAAATTGATTGTGGGTGTTATCCATTTTGCCTAGATTAAAATGTTTTTAAAGGGAAAGGGGGTGAAAAAAAGCGAGCCTTTTTGTATCTTTATATTTGCCTTAAATTGACATGAATTGCTTGATACATTTATACAGCAATGTGCAGCTTAACCTGATATCAGAGTAGAAAGACTTCTTTACTGTTATTATTTTCATCTCAGTCGTAATTAGAAAAATTCCTTATGACTTTTGTGTCAGATAATTGTGTACCTTTTCAAAACTGATTAACTAGTAGAAATACTTAACATCATCAGTTGGAAATATGAAATAATAGCAGTAGTCCAATGGAATGGAAGTACAGCTTAGCCTATTAAGCAGAAGAGAATTATGTATTTGTATTGAATGAAAGTAGATAAAGCAGGTACTTTTTAAGATTCAGAAAGTGTATTCAGGCATGTGTTATGAAACTTGTACACAGTGTTTATATGGTATGTAAATATATATAAATGCAGATGTCCAGTTCATTTGTGATATGCTTGTAAATAGTCAACTGATCTCAGATAATTGGAATAGAAATCACATTTCACAAGTTATCACCCGGAGTGAATGTGGATTGGTTGGATGTGATTTATATTATTGAGCAAACAGCAAGTATTGTATTATTTATTGCACTTAATTGATGGGTAAAATTGATTTTGTGTTAAATTAATTTGCCCTAATGTCATGACTAGAGGCGGACTTTTTATTTTGAATGTAGATGCTAGAGTTAGATACAACATTGACCTGCGTAAGTGTAATAATGTTATATGTACATGACATTTTAAATTTAAGAATGAATGATCTGTAGCAAGTTTGTTTTGATGTTTGTAAGTGATTTTTATAGCTTCATTTAATTGAGATTGGTGAAGATGGCATGAAGTCTTCTATGTTGAGGTTGAAGTATGAATCCTATCATTTCTTTATATCAAGCTGCTTTAGAAGTTTTTGTAAATGTGTACATAATTTGCAACAATTTTCTGTGAATATAAACAAATACAAAAATTAGAAATTGTTGCTTGATTCATTTTTTCAGTACTATGAGGGAAGGTGGTAAAAATTTCAAGTATTCCCATTACTATTCCCCGTGGGTCCTTTAGTTTTGATGCATTCACTAATATTTTTAAATATTAAAATATAACAAAGGTACCAAATATTAAGTATTTGGAATCACTGTTTTTGGTCTAGTATTATGCTTTTTTTTTCTTTTCTGTTCACCAGTAGAGGGAGATGGGAATTACTGACAACTTTGGCAATACTCGGCCTCGTAGCAATTGGCTCTCTGGCCTGAAAAGAAAGGGGAAACAAAAAATGGGATGTACTGGATTTTCAAATATCTTGGGACCATATTTTTTATATGAAAGAGAAACTTAATAACATATTGTTAGATCTTTTTTCCTTTTTAATATGCTAATAAAAAAATTTTAAGGCACCACAGCATTGGTATCTTTTCCTTTGGACTGCAGTGGAAGGAGGATAGCAGTTGAACAACTTTACTTAGGTTTCTTATAAAAAGACATTCTCTTATCGTTCTTACTTTATTTTCTTGTTATAATAAAAAGGTTTTATGTTTCTAAGTTTTTTATAAGGACGTTCCCTGACTTGGGTAGATGGGATATAACAACACCAAATCTATGAAGCTCCAATAGCAAGGCCGTTTATTTCTGAAGTCGATGCAAAACAAGAGTTTAAGTGTCCTGCTCAGAGGCGGATTTAGGCCGTCTTCTTGACCTTCCAGGAGATGATCAGATTTTCAAGTTTTCATTGACGGGTATCTAATTTTTTTCTGTCGGAAGACTGTCAAAAATGGAGGATGGACCATCAAAAGGAAGACTGTCAGAAAATAACTCTGGAGCCGCCCCTGCTGCTTGTCACCGTGTCCAAAACTCTTATCCAAACTTCTCTTTACCCAAAGTTTTTTTAAAGGTTTTTTTATTACTCTATTTATACTGTTTCAACTCCCCATCCTGCATATAGTATCCAGGACAAAAAAACAGTTTTTTTCTCAGAGTGTTCAACTGTATGTTAGAAACTTGACTCCGCCCACCAGAAGTCATGCTGGCGACCTCATTGTTAACCTGTGGAAAAGAAAATGTGTTTAATGAACAAAATTGTCCTGTTCTGCAAAGGCTACCTCATTATTACTGTTTCTTTGCTGAAAAGCCAAATCGGACTTGACTTATAATTGCATTTGAATAATTGTTACTAGTGACTAGTTATTCCATATGTAGTGACAACTTCTGAGTTAAAAACATTTTCATTCATATACCAAAGTCAACATGGATGCCAGGTCTTCCTCGCATGCCTTGGCTGAGAATACTTTCACGAGACTTTTGACGAATCTGGTACCCGTTTCAGTGGACCGCCATGACACTTTGCCTATAAGGATAATTTATTACTCTGTATTATTATATCCAATATGATTGGTAATATAAAGAATTACCAGAATCCACGTTCATATTGAAATATAAGAATTCTTTTAGGGGAATAAATCAAGCCCAGTGGTTATCTTAGAGTATGCGCCTCATTCATTAGCAGCTTTTCTAAATGTAAACCTGCAGTTATGTAAGTTTTTTTAGTATTTGAAAATAGCACTACTACACCAGAGCCTAACCCATGCTTATCATAGTGGTGCTACTAACTATACTTTCTTCTCACCTGGGGTGGTGGCCGTTGCCAGTATCATGTCAGCATCATCTGGTGGATCTCCGCTGGCGCCAGAAACTGAGGGAGCATTCAATCTGGTGGACTGAGATGAGCCTTGTGCTTCATCTTCGGGTGAGCCGCTGGCACTCTGGTCTGTTCATAAAAAAAAGCTAGCTTTCATTTCTTATGAAAGAAAAATAGTTTTTAAGCGCTTTACCCTGACAGACGGGTAGGCCAACGTACATACAGAAACACTCATACAATACGAACAAAATAGAAACAAAAACATCTCTGGTACAGGTAATTCACTGGTTTATAAAACAAAAATATATACCAGTTATAATAATTATAATCACATCTCAACACTTGATTATTTCTTTTTTTTTATTTATTGGGGGGGGGGGGGCGTCCTTTATTGGTGTACTATCCAATAAGGGTGGAAGTATATGTATATTTCAACGTAACTGGAAACCCAGGCTGTTGTTGCCAGTTGTACATTAGCATAAAAACTTTTCTTCCAAGGGTGATGTTTACATTTCTACTCACCGCTTTGGCATGCGGAAATAAAAAACATCTTCGGTTTTCCCTTCAAGGACGGGCAATTAGTGGTGGTGAATGGCTGTCGTATTTGATCATATGTAATGTGTGCGCCATCCGAACCAATAACTGTGTTCTTAGACCCATGGCTCAGTATCACCATTATAAAAGAAGAATACTTCCCATGGTCGTATTGGCCTTCGTCCAAGGCAATTTTATTTATTTTCTGGAAAATAGACCATCATTCATTCAATGTTTTTAACCTTCCTCAAATGCTGTTACCAGACTAAAATCATTGATCTGTCAAATGTAATTTCAAATAGAGTTGAATTTAGGTATATAAGCCAGTGTTTGTCATATAAGGCACAAAGTAGAAATTTACACATGAGAAGCATATTTCTTACCCAAGCTGGTCGATTTGTATATGTTGTAACAAGGTAATGTAGTTTTTCGAACAGTTTAGTCAAACGTTGTACATCTATCTCTGTTCCGTATCTATCTTCATACTTGGGGTTATCATCAGTGTAAAAGTTGACATTGTTTATAATCACAGCCCTTCCTCTATTCTCTGTTAAACAGTCATAGACCTATACAGTGTAAATAATAGAAATATATGATAATATCATTGTCTCATTTTGCCACGTATGCATTGAAATAACAATATCGTTCAGTATACAATATGCACAACTGAAATACAAATGACTTTGCTGTAGTGACATTTCACACGTTTGTCCATAACAGGCAAGTTAAAATGCATGTTAATTCTAAATGTTGTAATCATAAAGTGTTCTTTATTTTCACGATAGGTATGACGAAAATTACATAATAAATGTTGTAACCTCACCGTTAGGCTATCAAAAGTCAATACGTCTTCTTTGCAAGGTGGAACTTCAACTTCTTCACATTCTTCCAATCCTTCACGACATGCAATAAATGGTTATGTATCTAAATTTCCTTTTCGGTTCAGTATGAAAGAACCATTAAAGCTGCAATTTTCTGTATTTTGTTGTTATGCATGGGTGTACCTATTTTAGCTAGATTGTATACATTGGCAAAAATAACAATGCATTTATTAAGAGTGCTCATTCACTTTTCATAACCCGTGACAAAAATTATATACCTATACATGTGTAAGGGGTGGATGAGCCTTTCACAGGTGCAGCTTTTAATGTAGCCTGATTTTTACTTTCTTGTTCCTTTTCTTCTAAATAGGAAATATGCATTTGAAATGGTATCTTTTTGTATTATTAACAACGAGGCACAAATTTTACCTTTAGGAATATGCAGAAAACTAAATTGAATAAGCCTTTTATCAAACATATCAATTAAGTTACATCATTGGCGGATTTAAGGGGTTGTCAGGGGGATCCTGACACCCCCCACCCCCCCCCAATGGTTCCCTCTTGAAATTAGAAATTTGACTAGCTGAATCATAGTTCTAAACGATACCAAATGGCACCAGTCGCCCTCTAAAATACCAAAAAATTTCAGGGCCATTCAGCGGGCCCCGAACGCTTACCTTTCTTTGGAAACACCTGACACTGAAAAATTAAAAAAATGTTCATTTATATATTTTTAATAACAGCTAATGAAGCATACATGTTTCACATTATTAATCATTTATTACATGTTGATTTTAAAGATACATCTTTTAGATATTTTAATATTAAAATATGAAAAAAATTCCATTCGTTTACATACTTGTTCATAAACTGATATAAACCTAAAATTGAAATAAAATGAAAAAAAAACATACTTTTTCATCTTCTCTCTGAAACCAAATCGAGTAAAGACTCGTATTGACCGTCTGTCTTTGTCCTTGATAAATTAAGTAACCTTGTTGGAGTACATTGTCTTCATCTATGGGTACGAAAACACTTTCCCCAGACGAATTTAGCTCAATCACGAAGTCCCATTCCAGATGAGGGTAGTGCTTACGTCTAAGCCCTTCAAATTTTTGTACAACAATGTTCCTAGCATACAGAGCTGATTTGCAGGGCGTATATAATTTCTCGCCGGGGGACAATGTCCCTACTTTCAGTTTAATTCTATATTCGTCATACTTCATCTCAAGCACGTGGGCCGAGGCTCTTCCTGTGGCACTGTTGGAATTTGGTGCTTGAATCCGGAAGCATGCATAATCGCCAAATAGAAGGTTACTTTGGAGAAACATTTTTTTATGCATACCCACGAGAAGACGGAGGAATAGTCCTTGGGGTATGAAGTCATACTTGGACTGAATATAAATGGGCTTGATAACAGCGTTATCGGCGAGAATGAAATCCTTCGGTTCGGCTACCTTAAGAAGACTTGGGATCAAAAACAGTCTCTCCCCCAGAGCACATGGAGGCGCAAGGTCTAGATTTCTGGGTGTGTACAGATAGGCAAGATCATAACGCTGCATTAGTTTAAGCAACAGGTTCTTATTCTCCAGTAGTCTGTCGTCATTTTTCCAAGCAAGGTTCACGAACTTCTCTCTCAGTATAGCCTTTTCTTTCAAATAAGATTTTGTCTGAGAATGACGCTTAATGTATTCGCAATGTGGTAGAGTGAGTACAGTTTTGATGGCGTTGAACAGCCACTGCGGGTCCAAAATGACTATAGCCCCCAACTTTCCATGATCATAAAATGGGAACACACCGATTTCATGAAAATAGGACAAACAAATGTACAGTTCGTCTTTGCTGATATTATACTTTTTGGCATGGCTTTCAGCTTCACTAAAATGCACATATGGACATTCCTTGGATATGGTACGCAACTTTTCTTCGAGAAGCACCCAGCGAATTGGTCTTTTTTTACCCCAATATGTCTGTTGTTTAGCTATCTCCTCTATAGCTTGTCTAATATCCTGTAAGGCGGGATCGTCCATATCAGTGTTGTCGACCGCAAAGAAGACTCCGTGTATTTGATCGTAATGTGGTTTTGTTTCAAGATACTTGCGGATTTCATTTAAGCGCTCATCTTTTGTAGATTGGGTAACCTTGAATCAATAAAAATAAAGATGGGAAATTAAAATATCTTATTTAAAAAAGATGCTGGTAGTCTTTGTTTGAAAGAAAATGGCCCAGATTATTGTAAAATGTATTGATGGATTGTGGTAATGATAGAAATCTCAGTCAGCGAACAAACATTATTCCTTGATGCCATGTTTCATGTTCTGAATGGGTCTATGAAATTTTGTGGCACACTGGAATTGAGGAGATTGAAAACACGCGCAGCATTAATTTTCACAGAAATGACCATTTGTAAATACACTAATTAAATGTACATGTAAGTGTATGACGTTTCAAAAGAGGCGTGTTTTTTAATTTTGTGTAAAAGTTTTTATCCATGATATTTATGCAATGGGTATTTTGTTTGTAATGTATTTTTATTCAAGTCGATCTCTTATCAAACTGTCCGAAACATTCTACAGCATTTATCAAGAGTGCGCATGCATGTTGCTTAAAACAATTATATATGAAATATTTTATACAACTGTTCATAGTCAACTACCTTGTCTTTATGAGTTCCAACTATGATGATAGAAGGACAAAGTCTGTCATTATCTTTTGCTTCTTCAGGGAGACTCCCCTTACCAACAGAATTTTGATGGATTGACCTCATCCAGAATTCCAGAAAACCTTAAATAGAAAGATATAACGTAAGCACATTAAAAGCGAGTTTAATACTCATGCAAACAGATGCAATATCAATGGAGGATTTACCCATATTCTCATTACATATTCAATTCCTATTTTCATACTGTGAATTTTATAATGAGTGCCAATAAATATCATCCATCATATCTTAAAACCAAACTTCCCTCAGATAATCATATGCCCCAAAAGAAGCAAAATAAATAGATTTTACAAGACTATCCTCATCCCATACCAAAAAGTTCATGACCACTTCAACTACAAACGTAATCAGGTCGGTACGCATAGTTTCACTGGTAAAGTTATCTTTAAAAAGGTTACAGAAGTTAAAAATTACCACCAAGGGTCCGTGGAACCCCTACCACAGCTCGGTCCTTGCCACACATACCCGTTTCCTCAATATTCATTGGCTGGTCAAGCCCCTTGGTCAAGTCAACGACCAGTAAATAAATAGCCCTACCAGTGAGGATTATTTGGTTGATACTGCAGTTGACATGCTGACCACCCAAATCCCAAACTGATAATCTGATCGTGTCTTTTTCGGTACCGGAAACGTGGCTGCTGCCACCCTCTCTTAGACTAAACCAGTTGCTTAGCATCCAGTTGGAGCATGGTTTAGAGTTTATTTTCGACTTGTATTGTTCATACACCACTGCATAAACGTCATCTAGAAAACATACGTAGATAAATTTGTGATTAGCCTCCCAAAGTTTCAACAGTAGGCCCTACTAGTGTTGACAGTAAACCTACCCTGCTCAACATGCAACCTCGGTCTATAATTTGAACAGAATAGGAAGCCATAGAATAACATATTATTATCATCAGTATTATGGAGCCATGTTACTAGAACTGCTTGTAATTAAAACTTCTAAAACGCCTTTGATCTAAAACATGTGCTTGTGTTATTGGATATTACTAAATATTGAACTTGATAAACTTTATCAGAATTTCCCTACCATCAGCGATACCGTCTTCCAGCTTATTACAGTCCTCACGGTCTACTTGGATACTTGATTCATCCGCCACCTCCGGCACTTTTAGCAATATATATTGTATGAAGGTATAATAATAATAATCAGATCTTATTGTTAGATTGTTTCATGGAAAATCTATATTACGGGACTAAAGATTCTTAGTAGCTATATAGTGTAGACCTACCCTCTACCAGGGCGACAGATAGATTTTTACAGATATTCACAGATAGATAGATAGATAGATAGACGTCATTTTAGGTCTGACCGTCTATCTATCAAGAGACAAATCTGTGAATATCTGTAAAAAAATCTATCTGTCGCCCTGGTAGAGGGAAGTGTAGACCCATTAATTATCAGACATAAATGAAATTAAATCAAGAGGTACCTCCCATTTACCAGGGCCACAGTTTAATTAAGTGCACTTTCTCAACCCCAAAAGTGTCATGAATTAGCCAGGGACATATCTGTAGATATTGAGTGAAAAATCCAACTATGGTCCTGGTAGAGAGTATTGGAGGCCCATCCTTGATTCTAATACTCCACCTTGGCTTTAATCTTTATTTTACTGCGGCAGACAAATACGGTTCTTGTTGGAAAAAATATTTAATATGCGGGATCAAAGATAATTTCAGGGCTTTTCATCTGCTATGTAGTATTAGCACTACTTATATACACATTTAAGCGGTTAAAATTTACATGTAGAATAGAATCTGTAAATCTATTAAAGAGAGAGACACAGTGGGAAATCAAAAGAGGGATTGTAAACAGAGCACATACTTTTCCTTGCAATAGGTGTACTGCAATTTTCACACACTTTCAAACCTGGCTCAACCACAGTCGGGCACTTGGGACAAATCAATATTTCTTCCCATTCAGTTGCCACTGCAATGATCAGAAGTTTAAAGTAATCAAGCTATACATACTGTGGGATGATATTGTTAAACGTAGGCCTACATAAAAATTATTTCAGCCCTTCGAACGCAATACTACATCACAGGGCAGTGTTCTATTGTTAAAAAAAGCAAACATCGCATATACGAAAATTATATTCCATGGTAGCCGCGACAGGGCGCATGAACAACCCGCAGCTCAGCACAGTAGAGCCTATGCTAAAATTTCAGCGGCACTGTAGAGAGAGAACAAAATAATGCTCATCGTTCAAAAGCAATCTTATCGTAAATCATTTCGCTTTAGCGCTGAGATTATATTTATTTACCAGTAAACGCTTATAAAGTTACCTTTCTCTTTCGCCTCAACAGAAATCATTTTTTTCGCAACCAACCTAGCTTGTGTGACTGCGTGTTCTTCCTCTGTTATCCAACCGTAATATGGTGCATAGAATTAGAACAAAATAAAGTCAAGAAGATTAGCGCGTTCTCGAAAAATTTTTCTAAAGCTAAAACCGTCAATTATGAAATGTCTCAAATAATTTTGACTACACAAAAGTATAGGGCATGCACGAATGTTCTACATAATGTTAAAAACCAGGATTAACATCAGCTCTCTGCTGGACACTCGGAAGATAGAAAAAACCAAACGTTAAGTAAGCACTTGGCGAGTCTAATATCCTTATATCTGAAGAAGTGATCGTGGCTGCAAAAGAAAATCACAAAACATGTTTCTAAATAAATAAAGTAAAAAAAATAAATCTTAGTTACACTCGCCAATTAATGCTCGACAGGCGTATTATCATAAGAAATACACTACTTCTAATGAAAGAAAGCACCTGATTTAGCTTTCCAAGTTACTGCAGATTCTTCATTGATGACGCAAGCGCCGAAGTTGACCACAACTCCATTGGTGTTTTTGTCTCCCTCCGGATCATACTGCTGACCAAAAAGTTGTCTTATAATATGTGTTTTGCCAACTTTCGGAGGACCAACGACCATTAGTCTGATTTGTTTCTCCTTTCTCGTGCCCTTTAAAAGTAGCTGCTTAAAACACTTCTCTGCGGTCTCTGCAAAAAACAAAAAAAATGATAGCCAATTGTATATTCATATACGACAGGACAAGAGTATAAAATTCTTAGCTGCTGCATAGAATAAATCACACAATATTAAGATATAGAGAAAATGAAGCTAAAACCTTCTTTGCGAACTAATACAACGGGGGAGACTCTACCGTAATGGTCGACAAGCTTGACTATTACTCTCCTACCACGGATAGCTAATTAAGCTTAACTGCTTCAGACATATGTATACCCGCAAAATTTGGAAAAATATTATAGTTACAACGCTTGCCATTGGAAAACTTAAAACATAGAATGCTGTGAAATTTATTTTAATATATATATCAAGTTCAATTAAAGTTTGATGTACCATCAGAAGACGAAACTGGAGGTGGCTGGTACGAAGTGGAATCAGCAGGCAACTGGGCACTTCTTTCCTGGCAACAATCTGCATGATTCACCAATTCCGCCATGTCCAATTCCGCCATGTCGACTTCAAGCACAGGTTTAATTTCTTAAATGAAAGGAAAACGACTTTCACTATATACATCAATTAAGCGCATAAACAGCAGTAAACGGTGTTAGTATTTTCTTTACAACTTCTTAAACATTCAGATTTAATGTGCAGTAATTTTGCATTCCTATTTTAATATAAAAATAATCATAGTAAAATCCGGCACGACATCAACTTTGATGTATTATTACCAGCATTAAGACGTGTTGCTCCTGTTGCCAGTTCCACGGTGAAATCTGAGTGTGACCACAGATCAGACTTAACTTTGGACAGGACAGCGGTGAAATGGGCCACTTCTGCTTCCTGGTCACTAGGGGCATGTACAACCACACCGCATAAAACGCTGTTTACTGCAACAATACTGCCGCAGTCGTGTTCTGTGAAATGAGCCGTAGAAGCGCAGGAGACGTTAAAAAATCTATCGTGGTGTTGTGTCACTTTTGCCGTCACGACGTTATCTTGTTTCATCACATTCACTATGCTACCAACTGGAAGTTTTCGTCGTACGCCGCCCCATCCTCCTGCCAAGGCCTCCGTAACGTTACCAAACCACAGCCCTGCATCCAAGATATCCAGAAAGGAATCGGTAAGACTTATAACGGTCCACTCAGCACATCTGCCGGTAACAACACCAATATCGATGTCTCTCTCTTGGTGCCGAATAAAACAACGCTGGCCAATTGACCAGTGGCTGCATGTGATTCCGACAACCTGCATCACCATGCCATATTTTTTCACCTCCAGACAGCAGCCGAGTGTCCTCTGATCATTGCGACCTCCAACCTTTTGAGTTTGGCCCTGGACGGTGACACTGTGTTGCTGGTCAGTCCACACCCTCACGCCCTCTGCTGCACGTGTTTCAGCGCCAGCTTAAATCAATAGCAAGCATTTGCTCAAGTAATCTTGATTTATAGACGGCAAAATATTAATGAGCATTAAATGAAAACGGAAGCGACAAACACTATGCCATCCCTTACTATGCGTTCAAAATTTATTGACGCATCAATAAACTAGGGAAGCTTTTTCCTTTTCTGAAGATCCATGTCTGTCAAAAGAAAAATGAAAAAGATGTACATGTGTAAATACTGTCTGGTGTTCGTTAAGAAGGTTCAGAGAATACATAAATAAATACAATTTATCCTAACATACAGTGGTGAAGTAATACCCCCCCCCCAAAAAAAAAACTTATATTTAATCCCACTTACCTGAGGTGACGAGACTCATTTTTCTTAAAATTCCTGTTTCACGCTTAAGACTGTCCGCAGCATGTGCCCCCTGTCATATCAAAACATTTAATTTGACGTTCAATAAGGGAAATAAAGGGATACGAAATTGAAATAAATCAGCAGTAAATCATATTTCAGACAATTATCTAATCGTTACAATAAGAAGTGATATAGTATACACGTGTTCTGTGGTATTTGATGTTGAAGAAATAAGTTGAATTTCTCTATGATATCAAGTAGAAGAAATGATTGTGTCACAAAGTCACGTGACTGTGGTACACATTCTACTGATGCTTGCCTTTTGCTTTTAGAAGCTGCAATACATCAGTAGTTTGACCCCAAGTGTTACATGTACACCCTGAGCTTCAGAGATAACTTGACACTAACCTCTTCACAATAGCCTATCTTCGTCGTGTCAAGTAACGTGTCGTGTCGACGAAGATAGGCTATTGTGAAGAGGTTAGTGTCAAGTTATCTCTGAAGCTCAGGGTGTACATGTACCAACCGGCGAATATCGAATAACACTTACGTGCAATATATGGTGTTCTTATTTCAGATAAAATAAATCTATTATGGGACGCAGTTTTCAAAATTATTTTTTTAGCAAATTAAGCCTTAACAATCTTTTAATCTAATTGCTTCTGATAAAAGATAAGAGGTGAAAATTTGTATTGGAACAATATTCTGTAAATTATTGACGACGGTACTTTGTGTCGGGTCACAGTTGTATTAGCCTACGCCCATTCTCTATTTGTGCAAAACGATATGATGATCGAGTGTTTGCCTGGAAGCAGATAAAATTGGATCAACAGATAAAGCAGCAGAATAACAGCGTCTTTATAAGTAATTTGGTGACTGTACAGCAAGACATACCGCTGTTTTGATCGATGCAAAGTAAAAGATAACTTATCCACGTTTGGAAATGTCCCACAGTCTTAATTTCTGTGTCTATGCCTACACACCACGCAAAGATACTCATCTTCCCTAATTCAGGCCTAAAGAACGATCAAATCTTTGAATTAAATGTAGGATATTGATATTTCCTTATGAAACAATTAAGAAAGCACGGCGGTGATATTGTGGCTGGCTGGTCATTTAAAACTAAAATGGTATTGAACATCCAAACGCATGCAGGGACGTACTGAGCAATGATCCGTGAGTAGAAAATAGTTTGTTTTTAAGGGAAATCTCAATTTGTCGAGAAAATTTTGAAAAGGAAACCTTAAACGAAAAGAAGGCAAAAGCAGATTATATATTTTTGAAGTTGAATAGGCCTAAGATATTGTTTGACTGGAACATGTAGTTTTGAAAAATTACCAGGCAATATAGACCTCAGAAAATCTTCAAAGCGTTTTTGTCGTCTGTCCAACGATCTGTTTCTGTATCTTCAAATCTTGTTTTCTTTGAGAACACGGTTTTTAATTGTTGAGTGACTGTCAGACATCTGAAATGGTTATGCGAACAAAAGGGAGGACCACTAAGTCCTCTTTCTGGCGTTGAGAAAAAATACGAGTCTTGGATGATTTAACGAGACGTTAGAAACAAGAGATGTGTTAATCTGTTGGATCTATCTACTTAGACCTATAGTTTCAATGGGAAGGAGCCCTGTGTCAAGTCATCGTATCAGTGACCGTTAAGATGGCGGATAAGGAAGTAAAATTCGAAAATGCAACTGTGTGTTAGTTGTGTCGCTTTCTTGGTTATGTACATTGAAATTAGTCAACAAAAATACGTTTAGTACCTTAACTGCTCTCGATCTTCATTTCTGAACATTGCGGTCTTATCGCTCGAAGAATTCCTTGGCTTGGAAATATCCACAGATAGGCCTACTGTACCTGTCTGTTTATGGTTGCAGCCATAAGCAAACGTGACCTAGATCCAAAGTACAGGTGCTACATGTATTTGCTTAACAGCGACATTAGCACTTCTCGAGTCTAGAGGGATGAAAAATTTAAGTTTTGGCGGAAAAAGTGCCATAAACGGATAATAGAATGATGATAGTAATCAATGTCGGTTCACCATCTTCCAATATCGATCGGATGTATATATATATATATATATGATTAACTGCCGTTTTGGAAGTGAAATGCGTATTTACCATTTAGTATACATTTTTTAGTATTACATTTTTGTGTTGTTTAAAATATATTTAATGTAGAATTTTGAAGTCATACGAAGAGTAGTAACCGTGTGACGTAAAACGTGGTGCATTTTTCTTGGCCCACATCGTAGTTTCTACGTAGATCTAAATATGTTGATATCTCTTAATTGGATGGCGTTTTTAATGTTGCCAAGCAGAACAAGTGCTTTTTTTATCGAACTTCAAAACTGTTATTCATTTTAAAAGTTACCCCTTACAGCGACGTTGAAATGGTATTGTCGAATCCTGAAATTCCAAATTTGGAGGGGTTGCATATTTTCAGTAAATTATTCAAACAATATTTACACTCTGCTAGTGCAATAAGAGGAGTGTTGAGCAGTTTCTGAAAAAGCTAAAAGGTGATTTTTTAATACACAAATATTTTATTTCAGGAATACAGGAACATGTCATATATATGCCAATCAATACATCCCCTGAATAACAACAGTGACTGTCATGTGCTTCAGAGTGGATAAAAGCACAAACCCGTAGCCAGGGCAGAGGGGTGTAAACCGAACTGCAATTTTTGCTGGAAAGGGGTCCGCTCTGGGTAACATTTGGTCCAGGTACACCTGGTTTCATGGTGAAAAGACCCCCCCCCCAAATTTGAAATGCTGGCTACAGGCCTGAAAACTTAAATGATATCTACCTTATTAAAAGTACACGTATCTTGTAATTATCCAAACTGGTGTGTGGTCATTTTGGTATGTTTTTATATATATATATATGGATATTAGAATATTTTAAAGTTATTATGATTTCAATATTGCACTGGTTTTGAATGCTCCTTTTGCTTAATATTTTGCGTCCCTATTGGTCTTCATAAGGCCGTTGTCTCATCATTAGACCATCTCTGTATGGAGGAAATTTTTTGACTCTCAGCTGTACCAACAAAGTTTTTTTAATCTCAATCATGACATTATGGCCATTACCAATGAATTTTTAAATGCCCACTGTTTAAGATAAACTGAATCACAATAACATATTGCAAGACAAGTTTCCTATAGAAAACGCCCATTTTTAGAATCAGCACCGATTATAGTGTCATCTTATATATAATGACCAATGGAATTATCACTAATCAAGATGCAAGAAATCTCCTTAATTGCAGCTTGATGACGCCACAGATCAAGATAACACCATGTCCTCACTTATGCAGAAATGACTTGGTATATCAAGATGAAGCAACTTCTCAGAAAGTCGGTTTATGTTTCTTGACCTCCACCATGACATGGTGTATGTTGATAAGCTCACTCCTGATAGCCATACTCTTAAAAGGGGCCTGGGACATAATCTTGGTAAACCTGTGGTAATACTGGATCAGCTGGGTCAGGGCACCCTGGAAGAAACAAACAACCCAGTTTGAATGACTTTGCTGGAACCAATAATCATAAAGTAAAGGCAATAAACAATGATCTTTTTGTTATATTTCTACAGTATAAAAGTTCTTGCCCCACTTCCTGCTTCAGATAATGACACACAAAGTCTACAGCATCTACAGTATGTGTACATTTCCTACAAAGGTGGTGACTTAATTTTATCTTATATATAATTGAAGATGTAAGGCTATGGATTTACCTGTAAAATCTGTGTTCCATTTTTAAAGTTTGTAAAAGACCTCATGGCATCCTGATTGGTCAATTCAATTGCCTTTTTCCACTCAGAGTTGAACCCTCGTACTATCTGCTGAACTCGCCCTATGAAATACAGAAGCATCACAAAAACATTACCTCACCGTTTAGATGTGTACATAAGGGGATATTTAATACTTTTTAAATAAACCACATGGCTATTTTTTGGTCAACTTATCACTTCAAAACTCTTAATCAACTGTAAAATCCCATCATTTATTTACTAAAACCCTCCAGTGGATCAAACTTAAAACCTTTCCACATACATTTTAATTCCAATCTTTTTCCCTGGAAAAATCCCTGCTCCAGCTTCTTTTATTCACTTACTTTCTTGGTGTTTTAGCTGTTCTGTGTTCCCCTTCTCTAACTGCACTTCACACTCCTTAACAAAGGACATCAGGCCACCGAAGTGGGGGGCCAAGATCTCCTCCACAAACTCCTGGGTTCTGGCTGCCAGCAGTTCCTTGAAACTCTCAGATTCCTTGGAGTCCTCGTGAGTTCTTTCCTAGAAAATGGACTTCGAAACATTTTTACACTGTCTTTCTCCTTTACAGTACATATCACTTCTGAAATCAGTCTGATGAAGTATTCAGAATAGTGTTAATAAACATGTTGAAAATGTGCGAAAGGAAGAATGTGAGACCATAGCTTGTCAGTGAGATGAAACTTACCATTATAACACTAAGCATCATATCATAGTTATTGATCAGGAATATCAGCTGTTCTTTCCTTGCCGAAAACTCAGCAGCCATACGCAGCACAAAATTTTCTACCTCCCCCTGCAGAAGAGCCAGTAATCTGTTGACTTTCTCACTGGGGAAGCTCTCATTAAGACCCACTATAGCTGCTGAGAACTCTGCATACCTTCTAACAATCTGGAAAATACAAAGAATAGGTACTGGTTGAAGCTGTCAAAATACTTAATCAAGAACTAATATCTGAACCTCTTACATGTATTAAATAGATTTTAACTGTTGTGTTGGCCAAAAAATTAATTTTCCTGGAGTAAATAACAATTTTCCCATAAGTTAGTCCACGTTTTTTTTTTCTAAAAGGTCTGGAGGGATCAGAGTCTTTCACACTTTGTATATTAACATGTACTCACATAGTGTGGCCTGGTATCTATAGGCCCCAGTCTGGAGGGGTCACAGTCTTTCACACTTTGTATATTCATATGTAGAATCTGCTCAAATCTTGGCCACAGTATCTCCAACAATGTCTCCCAGTATCTAAGAAAAGAATGGTGATTTTTTAAAATGGGAATACTCTTAATTTTTTAATAACATCATAATTATACTAAGCTGTAAAAAAGTGGAAGATATTTTAGCAAATATACCAGTACATATAAAATTAAAATTTCAAAGACTTCAGTGCTAGAGGACTCATAAAATTGCATGGCACATATCCAGGAGTGATATCTATAAGTCTCCTTGAAAATATCAGATAATGAAATTCAGATCTCATTATTATTATATCAGAGTATTCAATTTAGCATATACTGTATTACACACAGTTTCACTTACTTATCCAGAGCAGGGACAGACCTCTTGTGCATTGCCACCTGGAATCTGTATATAATATGTATGCACAGGAATATTGCTATGGAGTCGAAACATTCATTGGTGAATAAGTCCATCTGTTTCTGAAACAGGAAAAAAAAGAAATAAGGAATGCCATAAAAGGGGAGAAAAAGTTTCAGATTTTCTTTATAATTTCAACATACTTAGTTTTGGGGGGAGGGGGGGGGTTTCAATAATTAAACCAATTTTGTCTAGCTGCCAAAAACCAGATAATTTGCACCCCAGTCTTCTTCTTGGGTCTAACCCCCCCCTCCCTTTCCCCCACTTACCAGAAAAGAGGACATGGTTTTCCCCATCACAGCATTGAAAAGGTCCTGTGCCGCAGACCCTGACACCATGAAGAAATCCACAATAAACAGATACTCTCTACAACAGTTGTCCAGCAGGGCATAGTGCTGGCTACGGAAGAGGCTCTCAAAGGTGTACTACAAAAAGAAAACATTATAATCATATTACATAATTTTATATTGTTATAAGAGAGAGTTTGGTAAAAAGTTACATTTTGTAACTCAAAACTTGTTAAACCATGCACTCAATTTAGAGATTTTATGGGAAATCAAAATTTGCCACTTACCAGTATTATACACATTCTACCTCTGAGTCAAAAGATATACTCTTACCTTTTTATCTGATTTCTGTGCAGCATGAGGAACAATTATTGGAGCTTCTAACTCTGATGTTAGTACAGCACCTCTGTTCCCCACAGTGAATATTGTGGACCTATTTTTCAGAGCTGGCTTGGAGGAAAAGAAACGTGGGTGGTGTTAAGAAACAATTCCCAATCGATATGACAATTACAAAATTACATAAGTAAAAGAGTTTAATACTTTTCAAATAAATTGTTTACTATGCTTAAAGGATATCTTTCTTGGCTGTGTCTTCAGCACCCATCAAGTCATCTTTGTCTGCTACTTCTTCAAACTGAAAGAAGAATATTGAAGGTGTTTCACTAATAAGCTTGCAACATTATTCTCTAACAGGTGATTCAATGTATTATAATTATTTTACATTTTAGGCCATTACACTTAAGGCATACACTAAAAAAACAGTTTATGAAATTAAGATTTTTCTATAAATTTTTTAATGCCGTTAAAATGCAATTCAAGTGTTGTTGCACCTTTAAATAACTCAAATTTATCACTAATCTATAATAATTATCTTGGGAAAATGGTGCACATACAGGCCTGCAGCCAGCAATTTCACAGGGAGAGGGGGGGTTCAACTAACTGGACCTTTTCCCTTGAAATCTTCATGGATCTAAATCAAATTTTATGCAGAGCAGCCTGGTTCCTGGCAAAAAGGGCCGTTTCTTGGAAACTCCCTGAGCTCATCCCCACCCCCTGGTTACAGTACTGACCTTTTTTTTCACCTTTTTTTCCTTTTAATATCTACCATAGGACTTACCTGTAGTTTCATAAGGCGACTGGAGTATCCTTTGAAATAAGAGTAATAAATCTTGCTCATTATGTCCAGGTATTCATCACGAACTTCCTTGGCAACATGTCGCTCATTGGCCAGTAGAAATTCATAGAAAAACCTGAAAATACACATATGAATATGAAACATATGCAATGTGCCAGTTACCAAGCCATCAATCACACCCTTTAAATAAAAACAGTCCCTTCTGAGTTCATAAGTCAATTACTAATCAGGTAATCAAAAGTTAGACTAAAAGCAGTTCAAGATAGTTTTTAGAACTAGAATATTCTTTCTTTATCATTAATAGTCATAAGTCATTGGATTTTGATGGATTCTGTGTTCTTTTCTAGATGAAGAAGTTTGATCACACACAAGACAAGGACGCTGATTAACTTGATTTTTTGTTAACTCATACAGTGTTAACCCCTCACCTAAACTTGAGCATAGCATTCTGGGGTACTTGATAATTTGTCATTGGCTTTTTGAACTGGTAAATTTTTTGAAGTAGGAACTCTCGGATTTTTGCTATGGCCTAAGGAAATGAAATATTATAGGCAAATGGTGTAAAAACAAATTAGGTAGTTTTGAATACATATCTTGTCATTCATACTTTACACAGTATCGTACTTGTATTATCATAAACGGGATGACCTTATTGCAATTTTAATGTTACAGTATTGATAATAATTAAAATAATTTGAATATGGAAATTTAAGTCAAATTATATCATCATATAAACTTTATATACAATAAATCATAATATATACATTTAAATCAAGCAGCCTTCCTTTTGTGTTTCAACATTTCAATAATTAAAACTTTGTCACTAAATACCTTAATCTTCAGCTTTTCTAGTATGTCCTTTACATCCATACATGATCTTGACTCTTTAAAAGATTGCTCCTTTACAAAGTTTATCTTGTGGTTTAGTTCATGTAGTTGCTCCAAGAACTCCCTCTCTGTCACTGGACTGTCTAATATATGACTGCAAAAGTGATACATCATCAATGATCTAGGCACCTGAAGTGCAATGATCTGAATATCTTCACATTCAATTGCCTTTGATACTGAAGTAGTTTCAATATTTGAACAATAATGAGAACAAAGTAACATCTCACGAATTCAGAAATGATTTGTATAATAAACAAAACATAATCAAACAAAAAAAAGGAATCATGTTAGTTCAAACTTATGCAAAAAGAAAGTATTTCCAGGTATTCTACACTTAAAAAAACTGTTATATTACTTGATCATGGACTCTGGGACTACCATCTCATCAACAAACTGACTGAGCTCCCCTCTCACAGCCTGAAATATACAACATTTAACTCAAAATTCCTTGTGTACAAAATGCAGATATCATACAACCAATTAATGCAATGACAATTAATTTAATATTAACTAATTTAATTCAACCGACTACAGACAGGTGTGGAGACCACAGGTTTTGAACCATTGGACCCAATATATCCCAGTGAAAATGTGTTGATATACTGCATATTCATAATACATGAAATCATCTTACCTGCCTGTTCTTGAGTTTGATATTCATAGCAATGGACTGTTCCTGGAGAGTTTGTATCTCACTGCTGATGCTGCTCAGGTCAGTCTGAAAACTCTGCAGCATTTGTTCCATGGTCTGGAAAAGAAAAACAATTGTGTGTGTTATTGTCAAGGCTTTCTCCCCTGAGTCATCCAGTCTCCAATGAAATTTGTGGAACACACACACACACACACACACACACACACCACACACACACACACACACACACACAACATTTTAATGTAGCTGCAAGTTGCACTCTCCTGGAAATCACTTAAACATCCAATATTGCCCATTTGGAATCCATGTAACTATATTCACAGGCAAACCCCTGACTATAGTTCATAGGTTTGCACCAATAGTGGGCACCCAGAGTTTCAAAGGCAATCAATTTCTGTCAAAACAAACCCTGTTCATGACACAAATAAATGATCAACTCACCTCCAATATGGAATCACAAGCGGTTATCTGTGTGTGTAGACTGGCAATGTTCTGACTTTCTTTAATATCTGTTGTGTGTTGGTCAAGGTTTTTAAGTGACTGCATAAAAAACATCAAGCATATTTTCTCTCCTTTTTTTGTGTTTTATTCCCCCCCCCCCCCCCCCCCCCCCAAAAAA